GACCATTTTATTTTACTACAGTAGATTTCATTGTATTTGTCCTTGAAGTTAGAAGACATTAATAAACAGGATTTTATATAACATATATACGTGCATGCTCTTGTGTGTTAAACAATGCTGAGGAAATGTAGAAGAAAACATTAGGATCATTTATTTTTCAAATTTAAAATACTGTCTCACATTTTGGGGAGGACATCTGAATTGCTAAAACAAAGAGTTATTTTCAAAATATAATATGCGAGCTGTAATTGGTATACCAAACCAATTTGGTATATAAATATATAACCAATTTTTATTCTTTCCAACTAATTATTTGAGAATCTCTGAAGAGAACAGTGGCTTGTGAAAAAGAGATTTTTGTTAAGCTTGAGGAAATGATATGTGTTTTTTTCCCCTGAGGTTGTATGCCATTTGTGTTTTTTAAAATCACTTTTTGTATGTGCTAAGGACCACTAACAGCAATTTTCAGACAATCACAAGTAGGTGAGAAGTAAGGCAACAGCACATTCCAGATCCCAGTGCAGTTTGGACTCAGAGAGGTCAATGGGGAATAAAGCCTTCAATTGATATAGGAAAGACATTCAGGTCCGAAGCTGATGCTTGAGACGCCTTTGTTGCAGAAAGGTGGTTTTATTAAAGCACGGGGACAGAACCTGTGGGCAGGAAGAGCTGCACTGGGGTCATGACGAGTGGCCCATTATATATTTTCAAGCTGGGAGGGGGTTAGGGATAACCTAAGTCTCTAAGGAATTTTGGAGGCAAGGTTTCCAGGACCTTGAGGGGACTAGCTGTTGTTGGGAAAAGGTCATTTATTACCGTCTAATAAAACCTGAGTCATGAAATCCTTCAGATGTATATCGGTGGATCATATGCTTGGGGAATGGTTGCCAATGTGTATCTTGGGGAATAGAGATAAAGGAAGTTTCCAAAGGAATTTTTATATGTCAATGTTGACATAGGATTCTGATTCTGGAGGGTCAGGCTGAGATTACCTTTTGCCCTTAGCAAAGTATTAACATTGAGGCAGCTGAGCTCCTAGAGGAATGTCACTCTGCCTGTTTCAAGGACTTGTCAATGGGCTGTAAGTAGTAAGGAAATTTATAATTTTTCTTCTGCCTTTGTTTCCCACATCAGAATGACTTCTGGGCTTCCAGGATAAGAATTAGGCAACTTAAAACAAAACAAAAACAAATCTTTGATCCACAATCTATAGGAAAAGAAAAATCCTGGAGAGGTTTAAGAGAACTGACTTTGCACTTAAGCCAGTAAAAAATTAGATAAAAATATAAGGATATTAGAGCCCATAAAATTTGAAGGCAGTCTGGAGTACATAGGCGATAATGCTATAAGACTATGTGATTTGCCTCCCCCTTCCCACAGCTCTGAATTTGGGGTTGTGGTGGATACAAACCCTGTGTGCCTTTCCATCTGCCTTCTTTTTTCTGGGGGTATCACCTGCTTTGCAGACCATGCTGCTGCCATCAGAGCCACTGCCAAGTCTCCTAAGGTGGCTGGAGGCCAAGTTGAAACCCTGAGCCTGTGTTTCTCACCCTGAGTGAGCCCTAACCATGCTGAGTCTCCTTTTGCTCTCAGCATGGATGAAATGTCACACCGTGGGGTATGGGGTCTGGTTTTCTGAGCAGCCACTAAGGGTTTGGATGATACACCCCAGAAGTGCAGGAGAGTCTAGTCTCTGTGAGCTAAACCTAAACTAAGCGGAAATAGGAAGTAGTAGGGACCAGGCAAACAAATTCCCTCTTTTTTTTCTTCCCTGTGGATCGCTTTAAGATTTTATTTCTTCCCAAAGATCTTCTGGAGAAGTTCCAGGTGCTAAGCCAACATCCTTGCCAAGAGCCTGCTGAGTTTCTTCGTGACTCGTTGTGAAGTGGTGGCCAGCATGGTGACACCTCACCTCACTTGGCTTCCTGTTTTTTTCTCGCCTCTTTTCCCCTGTCTTCCAACTGTTACCATTCTGGGCTTGTACTTCCCAAATAAAGTGTCAGCACTCCAATCCTTATTTCAGGCTGTATTCTGTAGGAAAGTTTTTCTGAAAGAGCTGAAACAACAGTACTCACTTTACAGAAGGGCTGGATATTTTCCCCTTGTCCCCAGGAGTAGTCACTGCCCACTTTTTTCCCACCCTGCCCCCTGCTCGGGGAGGCTGTGGAACTCTATCAACAGGGCACCCACACCTCCAGCTGCCACTTAAGTCCCACCAGTGGGGTGCCCTGGTCGGAGATTAGAGGGATAAAGCATTTATTCTCCTGGCTCCAGGGAGAGGTCACCTGGGGCTGTTTGTATCATCAAAAGAAAGTCACAGCTGGTGGTCTCCTCCATCTGACTTTCTTGATTTCTGAGACCTGCTTCCTCCTCTCATCTCTTTGGACCTACAGAACAGAACAGCTCCACACCGCTACTCTCAGCTTATACACCATCCCTTGCAGCTCTTCTTCACCCTGCCCACTCCTTTGGAATGTATCTCTTCATAAATAAATTATTCCAATTTGAATTATTCTAATTTTGACATTGCTATCCGTTTCCTTTTGGGACCAGTAGTGAAAAGGAATGGTTAAATTATAATATGTTTTATCTGTGTTGGAGTAGTGCATAGCCATTACAAATCAGTTTGTGTTTGGTAGTAAAAGCAAGTGATGCACTTTTTTTTTAAAAGATTTTATTTATTTATTTAATTGACAGAGAGAGAGAGAGAGAGAGAGACAGCGAGAGAGGGAACACAAGCAGGGGGAGGGTCAGAGGGAGAAGCAGGCTTCCTGCCGAGCAGGGAGCCCGATGTGGGGCTCCATCCCAGGACCCTGAGATCATGACCTGAGCTGAAGGCAGTTGCTTAACCAACTGAGCCACCCAGGTGCCCCGCAAGTGATGCACTTTAAAAAAAAAAAAAAATTCAAGAAGTCAAGCAGAGTTCTGGAGGGAAACAGAATTCCATCATCTGAAAGAGACTCTAATGAAGGGACCATTGATGGGAAAGCAGACAGAGTAAAAGGAATCGATAGAGGATGGTGAAGACTAGAGACAAGAAAGGGCAGAAAACATGATCACGCCAACTGCTGATGGGGCAAAAGGAAGAAACACAGCATTAGAACACCTGAGCCCAGTCCGAGTGGGAGGCCTAGACTACACCGCTTCTCCAGAGGTGTAGTCATGGAGGGACACAGACCTGCTGGGACCTAGTCCCCAGCAGGTTGATAGAAGGAAATGCCCTGACCTTTCTCCCCTCCTGCCCACCAGTCTTCTCTCTCCAATCTCTGATCTCCAGTCAGCACTCCCATTGTCTGAACCCAGTTGGAAACTAGAGTGATGGAGGCCCGTGAGGGTCAGCCTGCTTGGGTTCAGAGTGGAGCTGGCAAGGGTGGAAGGACGGGTTTGGGTTGGCATGAAGTGAGGCATGCAACAGACAGTAACCAGTACTATTGGGGTATCAAACTCCATGCAAATATAATCCTAATTTTGTGAAAAGTGATACATGTATTTATGCATAAGGGAAGACTGAACTAGAAATTTAAAGTAGCAACCTCATAGTAATAAAAGAATTTTTTTTATTTGTTACAGTGCTTTATATATTTTCCAAATCAAAAAATGGTTGTGTAATACTTTAAAATATATCTTAGGGAAAAATGCTAATTGAATGATGTGGTTATTTTAGTGTTCATTTTTAAAGGAAAAGTTTCCATTGGTGATTCCTCATGGTAAGAATTTTACTTCCTGGGGCACCTGGGTGGCTCAGTCGGTTGAGCATCTGCCTTTTGCTCTGGTCATGAGGCTGGGGTCATGATCTCAGGGTCCTGGGATCAGCCCCATGTCAGGCTCCCTGCTCAGCAGGGAGTCTGCCTGTCTCCCCACCCCGACCACCCCCCCAACCCCCCCGGCTCCTACACGTGTGCATTCTCTCTCTCTCTCAAATAAATAAAATCTTAAAAAAAGAGAAAAAAGAATTTTACTTCCTGAATTTTTCCAGAAGTAGGATCTCAGCTAGAGTAGGGTTAAGTCCAAATGAAAAGGATTTTTTTGTTTGTTTGTTTATTGATTGGTTTCTCAAAGCACTACTTTGTTTTCACACCATCCTGCCAATCATTAAGAAAGAATTATCTAATGTGGGACAAATGGTATCCCAGCTCTAATCATAATAGATAGAATCCCATTAATTATGATCATCTTTGTAATGTAGCAGAGCTGGTCTGTGATATTCACTTTGTCAAACAAAATTTCTTAAGTTGCACAAACCTCAGTGAATAAGCATTAACACATAGTTTCAAAATCCTTTCAATTTAATTACATTGTAAACAAATCTCTCCAATCAAGTTTGCTTTCAAAACTTTTTCTACAACTGTTTGATTTCTTTTTCTCTTGCTTTGCTTCGTGTCTCTTGCATTTTCACTCAAATGACAAAGCACTGTGGAGGAGCACAGGGGTGTGGTCAGTGGCCTGCATCCACCCCGGCTCTTTGCACACTCAGCGCCTTCTATTCCCAGTGCTGTGCACGGGCTCGCCGGCAACACATGTGGGGTGTGGGGTAAAAGTGGCTACTTCCTCCCGAGAAATATTTAGCATGTACAGAATGAGATAGCAAATCTTTGGAATGTCACAGACCAGCTATAGATGGCAATATTCCTTAAGCAAATACTTAACCTACACCAATGTCTCAGCCCTTCTCGGCCCCTGTGCAAGCTCCAGCCCAGGAACCTCTACTACCTGCCAGGCTATTTAAAGCTAAGGCTTAGGCAGGGAGCAGATGTGGTGCATTTTGCCATCTTCTGAAATCTAAAATGTTAAGTAGCATCAAAGAATGTAGAGTAAAACTCTTTGAATTCAGTAATTACACTTTTTAAAGTGGTCTCCTAAATTTAATACAAACATATGAATATGAGTCAACACATATCTTTGTAATATTGCATAAATATCCACAGAACATATGCTGTTGTTAAAAATACATTCAAACAGGACTCAAATAGACTTTTAAAAAATGAGGTACAGATTTAGAACTTTTTAAAAATAGAATTTACATCTGAAAATTCCAGTATTATGTTTAAGGCAGTAACAGCTGTAATGAATCATTAATATATTTCAGGCCAAATTTCTAAGTGCTACATTTTAATCTTCAGACTCTATATTTACAAATTCCACTTTAATTAAAAATTCATTGAAAAGCTTGTCAAGTGAAGGGAATCACAACTTTTTTTAGCACTATAAGAAGTTTTCATAAAATGGATAAGAAATTCATATGGCTCTTTTACCATCAATTATTACGAATGCAGTTTCTGGGGGGCATTTTTTGGAGTAATGAAGAAATAATTCTGAGTCTTCACTAGTATCCAAGTCGTCTCCTAAACTGTCGTTTCAGGTATAAGAATAGCATCCCTTTGAGCTATAGGAATATTTAACAATTTTCCTCTCTGAGTAAGAATAACAAACACAACCTCAACATACCAGGAACTATGTCTCTATTTTTAATCTTCATAAAAATCATTTCAAAGGTCGTTAATACAAACATTCCCGTGGTACCATTGGCTGAACTACAATCTTCCTCTTGCCGTATGAACAAGAATTGATTAAGATTTCACTGAGTCCCAACTGGATCCTTTACTTCCACCACCAGAATTCCATCATGACAGAGGATGGCAGACAAATCTTTGGTTTCGATGCCATCTGGCAGTTTATACTGTCGGGTGAAGCTTCTTGAGATAAAACCATGTTCATCCATTCTGGTTCCGTGCTGAGCCTTGATCAGCAGCCAGCCTTCAAAGGTCTGAATGATGATATCTTCAGGGAGGAACTGGACCACGTCCAGCAGGATCTGGAAGTGGGATTTGCCTGCTTGGGTCAGCATTTCCGCCTCTGAGTCCACTGGAGGAACCTGGGCCGCCCTGGCTTTTCTCCGGTCCACAGTGGTTGGCCCCGGCAGTGCGTATAAAGCGTGATCCAGCCTGCAGTCTTCCAAGCCTCGAGCTTCAAACTCCTCCTCATAGCGCACTGGAGTCTCAATGAGGTGCCTCAAGATGATTTTTGCCATGGTGGGAGGCAGAACCAGTATCAAACGGCTTCCCTTCAGTCTATGTTTGGTCAGAGGCGAACCTCTCAGTTGCCTACTGACTAGATTATCAGCTGGAACAGCTACTCCTTGTAACCATGCGCAGATGCAACTACTTAATTAGGCCTGAATCATACCACCACACACCCACTCTTGTCTTTTCACACACGCTGACAATGAACAGCTATTTATAGAGCATGGTTCGAAGTTTCATTTAGCACACAGCCCGCTCAAGCTGCCCAGGCAAGGATCGTCCTTACATTCTCAGTTATCCTTGGCAAGTGTGTCTGCTTTGCTTGCCTCAAGAGAAAAAGAGAATTAGAATCAGAAACAGCATTTAAAAAAAAAAAAATCTCTGAGTGAGTGTCTGTCCTTGTGAACTGCAGTGATCTAAGGGACTGTGGCTTCTTAGAACAGTCCGGAGATATGCACTCATAATATGAGCTAAGACTGCATTCGTCCTTGTCTCCAAGCGCAAAGCTGGGAGGGATGAAGGTAGCTATAATTGACACAGATACTCAAATCTCAGACATGCAACCAACTCTCAGCCCTCTGTCCTATAGATTTTCTTTTCTTTCATCTTTTCATCATTTGTCCTTAAGGGATATCTGAGCCAAGTCATCTGGGTTTATTACATCTGACTCATCAAAAATGAGATCAGATGACTAAGTTAGATAATGATGTCAAACCTCAGATGGGGGTAGAGGAAGGCATAGAATGGGGAACTTAGCAATGAAAATAAAGCCACAGGGAAGAGAAAAATGTTAAAGCGTTGAACTATTTGATAGTAAAGACCAAAAAACTAAGGATTAATCTAGTTGTAGTTCTGCTACTAAATTGGCAAAATAAATGACACATAATTTCTTAACTATCACACCCTATATATTCAACTTACATTAAAAAAAAAAAATGAGGCAACTCTCTACCCATTGCTGTAGAAGGATCTCCAAGACATGCTTAGTAAAAAGAAAAGTCCAGAACAGCATATAATATGCTACTATTGATGCTTTTTTTGTAAGTAGGTATTTGCTTATATAAACAGAGCCTCTCTGAAAGATATGTGGCTGGGAACAGCGGCTGCCTTCTGTGATGGTGACAGTGATTGGGAGGCAGGGGCTGGAGGGAGACTGGCTTTTCACCATAAACACATTTGTGCTTTTTATTCCTACAGTGTGTGTAAGGTACAAATGCACAAGAAGTTTTAAGATATAGAAAACTTCCACTCCACAGAAGATAGTATTTTCTAGAATGGGTAGATTCAGGAATACTTTTCCTTAAAAATCATATAACCATTTTCTTAGAATGAAAGAAAAATGTCTAAAAAATTAAACGTCAGAAAACAGAAGGGAACAACCTCCCTTAGCTCCTTTTTATTACTCTAAAAACCTCTGCGGACATTTTGGTATGTACTTAAGAACATGCCTTAATAATGCTGTCCACACTCAGCTTTTTTGACCTGCGCTTTATAGGTAGGTGGCCCTGGAGGGGAACATGTACTCTTTTAGATATTTTAATGTCCTCCGACTCATAAAATATTGAGAGCTGTTTTCATCAGTGCTGCTCTGAGAGGTAAGTCAAGAATAGAACTCACTGCCGGTGGCAGGAAATAGATAAGATATTAAGGATTTGGCCTTAAAATACTTGCAACAGTCAAGGCAAAACTGAGAAGGTACAGAGGTTTTTCATCTAACCCCTGCCCCCATACAGGCATAGCATCCCCCATTGTCAACATCCCCCACCAGAGAGCTACATTTGTGGCAACTAATGACTCTAAATTGACATACCATGATCACCCCCAGGGTACATTAGGGTTTGCTCTTGGCATTGTGCATTCTATGGATTTGGAAAAATGTATAATGGCATGTATCCACTATTATAGTATCATACAGAGTAACTTCACTGCCATGATAATCTTCTGTGCTCTACCTGTTCATCCTTCCCTCCTCTGACCATGCTCTAAAAACTGCTGTAAAAAATAAAGCCTATTTAAAAAACTAAAACTGAAAACCTAAAAACTAAAACTGTTCTAAAAAATAAACTCTTTAAAAAAAATACTGCAAAGATACTGTTAGGGTGGGCAGAGGAAAAATGTGTCTAGTAATCTTATACTTTCTCGCCTCCAAGAACCTCTAAAAGAGGCAAGAAGGACCAGATGTGAGAGGTGTTTCCATATGGGATTGTGTGTGTGAGTTGCTGGGGTTAGAAATGAGCATCCACTTTTCTGATCAACACCCAAGACTTCTCTCAATGTTTTCCCTAAACTGCCCTTTGACCCTGCCCACCCCTGAACTGCCCTCCTCCTCATCATCAACTACCTCGACCCTTTCTCCCTTTGGAGAATCTACCAGGCTTCCAAACTGGTCTTTCTGCCCCACCTCTTGCCCTACTGTCCATCCTCCCTGGGTTTGTTTTCTGTAAACCCAGTCTAGTACTGTAAATGTATGTTCTCTTCCTTGTGACTTTATATTCCAGTTGGGGAAGGCAGACAATAGCAGACAATGGCAGTTTGAGGTCAGAAACTTAGGGTTCACTGCTGCATCCCCAGCACCTAAGACAGCGCCTGGAAAATGATGGAAAAAAGACGTCACACTGCTATAGATTTTGTACTTCTTATTTCAGTTGGTCCTTGATGCCGTTTGGCCATCCTTCTGTGTACTTCGCTCAGCTTCTCCTATTTCTCCAAAGTGGAGGCTGTAGATGTCTTCCGCTCCTCAGGTCTTCCCTTGTGGCCTGGTCTCGCTCTCCCAATGAACTGACTTCCCCGAGGCCTTGTAACACTCACACCCAGACATCTCAGAGGCAGAGAATCTTCCTCTACCCCTTTATCCCTGCCCTATTCCCTTGTTGCCTTGTTCCCTTCCTCCTCCTCTGGGCTTTCATCCAGCCACTTACCCCTTCCGGGGTATTCTCCAGTCTCTCAGTATCCACGCTCCATCAGCCTAAAGTCAAGCGTGCCTCATCTTTTTAAAACAAGACCTCCTAGACCTTTTGTCACCTATAAGCTAGTTATTCTCATCCCCTCACAGCCCAGCTCCTTGGGTTTGTAGCCTGGATTCAGTGGTCACTCTCCACATTGCTGCAGAATAACTTTTGCCCTACCACCAACTCCACCTTTAGTCAGGTCAAAGTCAGCCTCTTTGCTAAGTCTATACTTTAACGTTATCTTCCCGCACCTATTCAGCATTTGACATAAGCATCTCATCAGGAAAGGATGTGAACTGCTTTTTTCTTAGCTCTCTCAAGAGGACTAGCAGAGTTTTATTCTATTCCATGTGTTCTTAGTGGGGACGATATCACCCACAAGGGGACAAAAACTGGTCCTCATGGAGAAAAAAAATGCATATAATTTAAGATTATGTAAAACCTTAGCTATTAGATAATGGTCTGTGGCCCTCCAAAGGGCCACACATACATAAACAGACACATAGTATATCTCCGGTATTAAAACTTCACAGGGGAGAGGGAGGAGCATTAGGTGAAAAATGTCTTAAAAGACTCCTGGAGGTGGGGGGCACGGTGCAATAATAAAACAGGTGGGAAAGACTGCTCTAGTCAGCTTCATGAATTGCTCATCTGGACCTCCATGGACAGGGAATTATTTGGGGGATTCCAGTAACAACAAGGCTTGGAGTCTGAGAAGCTTCCCTAGGAAGAGTTATGTCTCACGGATGAGATGGACAACAGAGTGGGGCAGATGAAGCTTTGGGCAAGGAACGGAAGGGGGGGACTTGGAGTGTTCCCTGCTGCGGAATGGCATGTGGCAAGGCCTGGAGCCAGAACTGTGTGATTGCAGGACGCAGAGGACTCAGTGTGGCTGCCATGCAGACTACAGACTATGAAGCAGGAACATGAGGCTGGAGAGGTGAGCAAGAACCAGATTGTGGAGAACCTTGTGTGTTATTTTTGTTGGGACAAAATAACATTGTCAAAACTGTCTGAATTTTTACTAGTTGCTCTAGGAGTGAAGCACAATTCTATTTTAAAGTAAACACCGTTGGGGCACCTGGGTGGCTCAGTCATTAAGCGTATGCCTTCGGCTCAGGTCATGATCCCAGGTCCTGAGATTGAGCCCCACATCGGGCTCCCTGCTCCATGGAAGACCTGCTTCTCCCTCTCCCACTCCCCCGCTTGTGTTCCTGCTCTTGCTGTGTCTCTTCCTCTCAAATAAATAAAATCTTTAAAAAAAATAAAAATAAAGTAAACACTTTTTTTTATCTCTTCAAAATCAAGATTTTTGTGAAAGATTTTTGTTTTGTGTTTCCAAATTAAAACTTAGGTTCTATTCTGGAATATTGGAGTTACCTTCATGAAGACCCAAATCAGTGCCTTTTTTACTTTTTGCTTTTCTGACTAGACCCACAATAAGAAATTTGGTTAGCATCCCCACCCATTGAGCACACATATGCACATCCTAGGCACGAAACACTTAGCTTTAGTACTGTGATCCACTCTGATGGTCTCTATTCAATTCCACTGAGCTTAACAGTGAGCCTTGCAACTCACTAAGTTGATTTCACAACCCCCAAATTGGTCACAACCCACGGTATGGAAAACAGTTAACATTTTACGTTATCAAGGAAGGTAGTTTACCGTCTTTGTGGGGTGAATTACTTCTCTGCAGAGAGACTGTGATGGTCTGAACTGGTTTTCCTTCTGTGGCCGTGGTAAGACATTGAGTAGGTAGGGAAGTGAGAAGTGCACCAAGGCCGAACAGTATGGCTTCTGTCAAACTCTGATGAGGTTAAGGAAGACAAGAATGGGAGCATAGAATTTAGCAGCAAGGGTGTCTTTGACTTAACTAAGGGGAGAGTCAGAGGCAAGTCAGGGGCAGAAGTTAAACTGCAGTGGGTTGGGGAATGAATATCGCATCCAGACTACAATTTCAAGGAGCCAGGTGGGAGGGGATGGAAAGAATTCCCTAGAGGCTGACATAAGGCCTCAAAGGCTTGTTTTGTTTTAATTAGATGCTTTTAAGAAAATTGCCCATTAGTCTGATGGAAAGGAGAGAACTGGTT